AATGGACTCACTTGACTCACCAAAGTTGTGTTGAGATGTAGGTGGTGTTTCCATAAACACACACACAAAACAAAAACACACTGCCAACCAGTGGAGTCCAGCTTGTAGTGACCCGAAGTCGTGGCCTTTCTGCGGCTGCAAGAACAGACAGCCCCCACTTTATCTGGGAGTGACTGGTGGGTTTGAATTGCCCACCTTGTGGTTAGCTGTCTGATGAGTATAGACAGCGCATGCGAAAATGAGTGTCCGTCCCCCCAGGTGGGGGTTGTCGTTGCTGTGTGGCAAAACAATGGGGCACAAAAACTAGTTGTTCTCTTTAAAAATGGTTGAAACTGAATGCTGTGAGCAAGGAGTCCTGATGATGCTGTGGATGAAGTGTTCTTTGCTACTTGCTGAAAGGTTGGCAGTTCGAACTCACCATCTGTTCTGTGGGAGAAACATGAGGCTGTCTGCTCCCATAAAGACAGAGGACTTCAGAAACCCCATCCAGGTTCTCTGCAAGTTGGAACCAACTCGACAGCAGGGGTTTAATTCGAAGAGCACTTCCCAGAGGCCATGGGAAATGGTTAACTGTTAGGGACAAGGCGTGATCGCCACATCTCACCCACACTCGCTTTCTAGAAACGGCAGGACAGTAGTCGAAAACATGATTAGAGTAGAGCTCATCATTCTCTGAGAACAAAACCCAAACCCACAAAACACCAAAATGACCTACTTCTGGCTGTCGGGCTTTACTGAGAAAAACATGTGCTCCAGGCTCCAGAGAGGAGAATTGGACGTGTGTATGAACACGGAGCACGTCTGCAGGAGCTGGGTGGACCATGGGATGGGAGTTAAAACCACCGGGGAGGAAACCCAGTGAGAAGCAGGAGGTCCTGAGAAATAAGGCAAATATCAGCCCTACCAACTGCATGCGGCGGGGCACTCCACAGACGCTGCCTCGCGGGCGGGAACGATGGATCTGCTGAGTGCATTGAAAATACAAACCAGCAGCAGGAGAAAAGTTGTCTGGCTGTTCAGAACCAGCTCTGCAGACAGCAGCCAATGCCTTACACGCGGGTGGGGCCCCGCTTACCTCACTGGCTGCCGACAAAGTGTGATCTACTCAGGAACATCTCAGGAGCTCTGCTTCTGGAAAACCCTGCCATTTTCCTCTAACACATGGGGTGGGGGTGGGGGGCTGGTCTCAGGGGTCTTCTGGTCTGCAGCTGGGTCACTTTACAAGGAGCAGAACCCCTGAACCACTCATAAAGAACGCACACACACACACAGCCGGCTTAGCTCCTGCAGGGCCTGTGTCTGCCTCCCTGACTGGTGACTGTCAAGCTCCCTAAAAGAGGAAATCTCGTCAGGTGGGTGCTTTTGCCTGCACTGTAGCTAAAAAAACTAAAACAAACAAATAAACAAAACAACCCACTGCTACGGAGTCCATTCTGGGTGCTAGTGAGCCGAAAGGGCAGTGTAGAACTGCTTCTCTGGGTTTCCCGAGACTGAAACTTCAAGAGGACAGGCGGCCTTCTCTTGCCCCCAGGAAAGACTGGGCATTTCAAATGGCAGACGGTGTGGTTAGCAGCGTGCTGCACAGCCCACTACGCTACCCTATCAGAGGTCCCACCAAATAGCTGCTCCTGTTAGGTGCCGCCGACTCATTGCTGACTCGCCGCGCCCCGTGTACCATGGAACGAAACTGCCCTGTCCCGCCCACCCTCTCAGTTGTTCTTCTGTGTGAGCCCATTGTCGCAGCCACTGGGTCGCGCCGCCTTGGTGAGGGTCTTCCTCTCTTTCACTGCCCTTCTAGTCTACCAAGCATGAGGTCCTCCCCCAAGGACTGGTCTCTCCTGACAACACGTCCGAACGACAGGAGCCAAAGCCTCGTCACCCTTGCCTTTAAGGAACATCCTGGCAATGTTCCTTCCAAGACAGGTCTGTTTGTTCCTTTGGCAGTCCGCGGGACTCCCGTCGTCATTCTCCAGCACCGTCATACAAAGGCATTGCTTCTTCTTCCGTCTTCCTTATTCATCGTCCACCTTCCACCTGCACACGAGGTGACCGAACATGCCAGGCCTGGGGCCGGGTGCACCTTCGTTCTCCAAGTCACAGCCGTCCTTTTCAGCCCTTTAAAGAGGTCTTGTGTAGCAGACTTCCCCAAGGACAGTAACGAAATACCTGGTTCCTCTCAAGTAAAAATAGGAGGACAGTGAGATGGGGTGGGAGACCTCAGTGACATGGATTGGCACAGCTGCAGCGATGGCTTCGCACATAGCCGTGATTGAGAGGGTGGCACAGGACCTGCGATGTTCTGTTGCTATCAGTTGGCACCTACGCCACAGCACTTAACACCAACAACATCAAAGAAACGGAGTCCCCTGGTGGCAGACTGGGGGAAGTGCTTCGAGTCCACTGGGAAGGGGTGTGGGGGTGGGGGGCTCAGAGGAATCATGGCGCCCCTATCAGCTATGATTCCCAACCTACTCAGCGACGGGCCACAGGATCAGTGTGGGTTTATGCAAGAAGAGAGGACAAGGGGAACGTTAACAATCTGAAGTGTGGCCCCCAAGGGCCTTTCTGGTTAATGGTTGAAAAGCAAAGGGTGCTCTGGTACTAGTTGACTTCTATTTGTGGAAGCACCTGCTCTGTGAAGCTGTGCGCGAGATGCCGGTAACTTGCCATAGATCCAGTTTCTCCACATTACAACACCTCCAGGCCCTGTCCCCATTAGAAACAAGCCCGTTTTCCAAGACTTAAAGCGGAGCCGATTACCCGCTGGATAAAATTCCCTGATTAAAACAAAGAAACATTTGCCTGCAAGCACACACCAACCACCTCATGGTGTTGGAATCAAGACAGGCTTCAGAAAAGATCAAGGTGGAGCAGAAATAGAAAGAGGGAGAGCTGTGGGGAGGGTGATTGGGTCTTTTTTTTTTTTGCAAAGTGCCCACTGTTTGGCTTTTGGAAGTTTCTGGACCGTGTTAGCCTCACCTGAGCACTCCAGTTCCCGAGCCACAGTCAAAGCGGAACTCCACGTGGCTCCCGGCCATGTTGATGGACAGGAAGTCTTTGCTGCCCATGTCGTAGCTGTAGAGGAGGACACCTTCTCCCGAGTCGGGCCGGAATGTGATTTCAAACTCCATGAAGGAGAGGTAGTGCTGAGGCTCCAGGGGCCAGGGGGTCGCTGCGTAGGATCTCAGGGATGCTCTGAATTGAGGAACGGCCAGGGTGAAAGCTGGGGAGATAAGTGTGTGTCAGTCATCGCTCTGGCAGACACTGGCTAGTTGTGCACCTGCAGCCACGTGGCTTTCCTGATGGGTCCAGAGATAATCTCCATTCTCTAGCTGCCCTGTGACCCAAGCACTCGGCTGGCAAATTCAACCCTCCCCATGGAAGTAAGGCCGGGGGACCTGTTTCCATAGGTAAGATTACAGCCAAGAAAACCCCAACAGGCACTTGTCCTCTGTCCCTGGGGGTCACTTTGCGTCAGAATCAACTCAACAACACGCACCAACAAGGATCATTTGGTGGTAATGGGACAGGATGCAGGCCAAGGGTATATGGAGGGGCACAGCCTCACTCCACGCGCCATGTCTCTGTCAGCTTTGGTGTACTGTGACTTCTAGACATTTTACTAGGTACTTTGAAATTTGAGATGATACAATGGTTTTGAAAGCAGGATGCATGTCACATCCACATTTAATCACTAGTGGAGGGGTCGGTTGAGCTTGGCCTGTCTTAGCAACAGTTCTCTTTTGATTTTGGTTTCAGGGTCCCAGAAGAGTTGGAGCATGCTCAGCCATGGCTGGCTCTCCCGAAGCTCTTAGATTTTCAGTGACTGTGTGCCTTCTGTCATCAAGGCACGGGCCCAGGTGGGCCAATTCAGCAGGCCAGCTAGAAGACAAATGATCCTGTGAGTGCCATCACTGGGTGAATATTTCTCTTGATCCTTCAAGATCCGTTCATGTTGTTTATTTAACCGCTTGATGTGTTTCTACCTATGTGAGTTTGTTAAATCCCCACTATGGGAAGTTCACTGTAAGGTGCTGGTCTCGGCCCCCTGGCAGTGCCACACAGTCTCGGATGGCAATGAACGCCTTTACACCGCTTCCCAAGTTCTTCTCCAAATCTGTCGGCTCCCCTAAGACCAGGGGCTTGACTTGCTTCTTCACTCAGTTTCACACAAACCTCACAAGTGAGTTTCAACGTTATTGGAGGGCCAGCAAGTCCCTGTGCTTGCTAAGCTCGCATGCATGTTAAAACGATGGCATTTGGAGTTCAATGCTTTGGCATTAGAGACCCTCCAACCCAGTCACAGGGATTCTCGTGTCCCTTTCGACAAGGTGACATCGGTCCTACCACACTGTATAAACTCCGCCTCCCTGCCATTGAGTTGATTCCGACTCACAGTGAGCCCATAAGACAGAGCAAAACTATCCTTGCGGCTTTCCGAGGCTGTACATCATTACGGAAGTAGAAAGCCTCATCTTTCTCCCCGGGGGCAGCTGGTGGCTTCAAATGGCTGCCTTGTAGTTAGCAGCCCCGACTGCTAGTTAGTAACCCACTATACTGCACTGATGGGAAATGCCTCCAGGTGGAAGGGCCACGCAGACAGGAATAACCATGAACTTGCATGTTGCTCACCGTCTTCACAGTGTCGCCCCCTGAAGCCAAGGGGACAGAGGCAAATGTAGGAGTCCGCGTTGACTGCCGTGCAGGTGCCGCCGTTGATGCACAAGGCTTCATCGCAGACGCCGCTGCTGCACTCCCCTAAACATAGAGCGGGGGACAGGAAGCCACTCACCAAAGCGTCCGCATGCCGATGGGGCCAGCCCCCTCACCCGCTCCCCCTGCCGCACACACACATAGGCAGCTTGGTTGGTATCCGGAGGGCACAACTGTGAGCCCACCTGCAGGATACGTGACCCTGTTTTCCTTTTCATTTAATTCGGGGTCCCTTCAAGGAGAGCCACCTAGACTTGTCAAAACATGGCAGACCCCGGAAAGCAAGCACAAAGTGGGGCCACTGACGGGATGACTCAGTTGTTTCCCCTTTTGTTCACCCCTCTCTTGTTCCCTCGAGAGTCTTTGCAATCTCTCTAATGTCACCTGTGCTTCAAGTGCTCGAATGTGTGCCAGCCCTACTAGCTCCAGTGTGGCCTTTTTGCCTTGTGGGTCCAAAGTTGAGGCCAGCAAGCTAAGCCCTGGTGGAACTAAGCAGCCTTGTCTAAGCTTGTGGAGTGGCCTGAGCCACTGTCCCCTGTCAGGAGTGGGAGGGGAGTCAGAAGCTCAGGGTTCCATCGGCCCTCTTGTTACCTCCAAAGTTACACTTTTAGGAGGGACCCTGAGGCTCGTGTGGCAAAAGCCCCACATCAGATTGGTTAGCTCTCTTTTCCAAACCCACCAGAGAAGCCCCAGGATGCCCTTGGTCAGTTCCAAGCACATTTCATAACATGAAACAAAACAAAACGTAGGACAAAACGGGCATTTCCTGCGTGGTTTGTCTTCTGCTCCGATGAGCTCCTGATCCCGATCTGTGTCTCAAGCTAGATTAGACACAATCTGACCCAGTACCTCCTGAAGGAGTGCTAAACTCTTCTTCTGGGAAGGAAGCACAAGGGGAGGAGAGAGGCCAGAGCCACGAACAGGCTGAAGCAAGAGTGGAATCGGAAAGCGTTGAGGAAGGGAAGTGCCCTCTGAGAACTAAGCCCAAGTTTGGCAGGGACCGTGAGGTGTGGACGAGAAAACGTGGTTGCAGGTGGTGATGTCACCTTCCAGGTGTCGCATGGGGGGGACCATGACTCGGAAACTCTTGTCACCCTCTCGTGGAAGCCTGCAGCTTCATTGGAGACCCACTGCTGTTTGCCTGAACCCAGAGATCGCATTTCTCCTTGGAGAACTCGCAGCTCAGGAGGACGAAGACAAAGGAGGGGGCAGTGCAGGGTGACCTACCTGGTGGCTCAGTGGTAGGATTCTCACCTTCTGTCTGGGGGACATGGATTCAATCCCCAGACATCACAGCTCACGCACAACCATCACCCATTTGTCAGTGGCGGGTTGCACGTTTCTATGGCTGAGCAGGAAGTATACCGGACGGTATACTTCTGAAAGTCAGCGGAAGAAAACACTATGGAGTACAGTCGTCTGATCGGCGGCCTCTTGTGGGGATGGTGCAGCAGCAGGCAGGGGTGCCTGGTGTGTGCTTGAGTCAGGGGCTGACTCCCTGGCTACTAGCAACAACAGTACGGAGGGAAGCGAATGGGAAGGTGGAGGAAGGATAACCAGTGCTGTTCTTGGAGCCCAGGGGGAAGGACAAAGGCCAGGTGACCAGCACCCACCCTGAAAGCACACAGAGAAATGGAATGACCCCATCAATGCATCCGGGTGCCATCGGCTTCACGGAGTGTTTAGGATTCCACTGTGCTAGAATTTTAACCAACGGGCCGAAATCGGTTCTAACTCAACTCTGAGACGTCTGAACTACCTTCATAAGTGACCATGCAGCCTTGAAATGACCAGATCTATCTTGCCGGTCAATGTCCTGAAAAGACAGGTTTGTGGAAAGAGTCAATGCCCCATCAGGTCAGTGGAAAGAGAAGAAGCCATCTATCTGTTCCCTGCCTCTCAGGGAGAGTCCGGAACATAACCATACTGATAGCACATAGTTGCATCACTGCAATCCTGTCCAAGAGTCGATTCTAAGGACTTTATCTGTTCCAGAATGTGTTCTCACAAAACAACCCTAGAGGTAGGTACTATTTATAGATAGCTGTCAGGAAGCCGAATGGTGACTTGACTTGCCAATTCCATGCAGCCTGCCTTCAGAGTTCGGATTCTTAGCTACCGGATGAGACTCTTGGTGAGATGCTGGTTCGGGTGTTCTGATTCATCAAAGACATTCCAGAAGAAGGACTTTGGGGACATTGTCCGACACAGCGGGCCATTGTTTTATCTGTGCTGGACTCAGTTGCACTGGCTCCAGGACCCATTTGAGAGAGAAAACATTATCATGGGGAATAAGACACAGATAGTATTCTTTTCCTTTGCAGTGACCTTTATCTGCCGTCGTTCCAGCAATACCTGTAGGAATGGGCAAGGTGTAGGGAAGCCATCAGAGGCCAACCTGGGAGCCTCTGGTGCAGCAGATGCAGTGGTGAGAATGGCAGGCTGCGGGCTGCGGGCATACCGATTACCACCAGAGTGATCTTGGACAAGTCCCTTAAGTGTTCTGTGTTGAGAGTTCTCATCGGTAACCTACAGCTAGGCAGAGTACCCATTTCATAGGATTCTTGGGAAGTTTAACCGAGTACGTGATTGGATTAGTGTATGCATATGGCAGTGGTTCAACCGATATTAGCTAGAAAATGAACCAAACCAAAAGGCAGGTGAGGTCATGAGGATTGAGCCCTAGCTCTGATGGCAGAGTGGGGAGCAGAATGGACTGAAGTGTGAGAAAGCAGAGGGAAACATGCTAAGAAGAGAACTGAGGCAGCGAGTGACTCCCCGTCTTTCGAAATAATATTTGGGGGCTGGAGTGGTGGGTAAAGAAACTCCAGAAAGAGTCCTGCCTTATTTTTGTCCTTATTTGCCAAGAACCATGCCATGCAAGGCTGCGACATTCAGGGGTGCGATGCCATTTATTCGTGATGATGAGCAAGAACAAAGGCAACGGCAGAAGCATCAACCGAGAGTTCTGCTGCCAGCAGGCCACCAAAGTAGCCGACCCTGGGACAAGGCACTGCTTTAAGGGAGAAACCAACATCCTTCATGATTGAAACACACTCTGAGCTCTGCCTGCCGTTAGAAAACGTTCACCATGCCGTTTCTTCATCTGCAAACTGGGTATAAGAGTACCGGAAACCTCCTAGGTTCCGTGTGACGGCTTGAGGAGAGGGCATATGAGAAAGCCGTTGGCAACAAGGCCAGAAATGTGAGTTTAGCCGTTTCTTTCAGAAGCGGGGCACAGATGAAAGCTCTTCAAGCATCACTGGGTTGACTTTTTCCTTGGAGAAGGTCTATGGAGAAAAGGATGAACTTGCCTATAGTTTTGTCCAATGCGACCATGTCTTTGTCATGGAGAGACTCAAGGCTACTGCAGGACACAGCCAAGGGTCTCCGGTACCCTATGACTTACCACACCTTGGCCTTCAGACCAAGGACCAACCTCACCCCTTGCATCCACCCTGTCCTGAAATGCTACATTAAGCAGCCACTTGGAATTGCAACCCAAGGAGACAGGCACCGCCCTGGTCTGAGCGGGAAATCACATCGCAGTCCACTGTGCGGCCACTTACCCACATCAGCTCCACTGAGCACTTTGCCCAGGGGCCAGGGCCTCAGGTCGATTCTCTTCCCATTAACTGTGAGTGACTGCACACACCCCTGAAAGCCTTGGTTCGTTCCCGTTGCTCTGACCAGCCAGTAAGCACTGGGAATGCCACCAAGATAGAGAGGCGTCCGGAAGGTGATTTTACTGTACTGGCCCTTGAAGAGAGAGGAAAACCGAGCCACGTTATACACAATCAAAGCCAAAGGAAACCAAAGTTTGCTAAGGGACATGATTAAGCTGTAGGGTCTAGTGCTAGTGGTTTCTGTCTAGCCATACTTTTCTTTAAGACACTGTCCCACTGGGACTTGAAATCCCTGGTTACCATGGACTGTGTTTTCCAGAGGGAGGGTTTTGGAATGTCTCCAAGTGGAAAGGAGGTAGCCAATGCCAGCTGAGCAGACAGCATACCCTACTGGGCACCCAATAACTTTCTCTTTCCAGTCCTGACTAATTGATGGTAGACTTTGAACTGGACACGAGATGCGTTTGGGGCTTCAAACGTGATTCTAGTGATGACGTGGGGATGTGGGCTAACCTGTACCCCTTCCTTGTCCGGCTCACCTGTCTACTTGCAAGGAATTAACTGGGGACATTTCCAGTCTTAGACCAAGCCACAACTTGGATCGTGACGTGGGTTTTAGAGTTCTAGAATACATGGCTGCAAACCTATTGCCATTGAGTCGGTTTCAACTCACAGTGATCTACTAGGACAGCATAGAATTGCCTGCCCCAGGGGGTTTCCAATGCTGCAACTCTTTAGGCAAGCAGACTGCCACCTCTTTCTCTCGCAGTTGAGGCTAATGCTCAGGCTTGCAGTTAGCAGCTGAGTACTTTAACCACCGTGCTACCAGGGCTGCTCCTGGCTA